GCTGCGTTATTTATGTTATTTTTGAGTTTTTCCCAGCTTTGTGTGTTTTTTCATCATCGTCACTGTCCTCTTCATCTTCGCCACTTTCAATTGTTCTCAAAATCTTTGGAGGGACAAGTGTAACACTCTAACTAGATTTATTTCCGTTTTTGATTGATGAACATTCTCCTAATTTAGTGCTTGATAATATGGTGATGTCTGATAGAATTTGTATTTTTTTTTGTGGAGATGTTTCTAGAATATTATCTCGATGGACCACTGGTAAATCCTCGGAGTCACTATCGTAACCCGAACTAAGAATTGACTCTTTATCTGAGGGTATTTCTGCGAATAAATCCTCCAAATCGTCTTCGGACAACATTTCTAGTTGCTTATAACTCCATTTGTTACGTTGCATGGTACCTGAAATACAGAAACTGTAGTTGTTCACTGGTTTCACTGTGAAACCGTATTTTTGGTGGGACCAAAAAAGATACAAAAACACATTTTTGGTTACATATTAAATATTCTAAAGAGTGAGTACAGGTCTATGTCAACATGATAAATAACTTACCCGTAATTATTTTTGCTATTTTTTATCAAAAAACAGTCAAAATTATCAAAATTAAGAACTCCAAACATATGATTTACGTGTTGTGACGCTACCGCCATCATACCAAAAAAAATTCTAACTATACATGAAACTAAACCAGTTTCACTTCTTAGTTTATCTATTCTATTCTATTCATCTGAAATATAGATGGCACTGCTAGAATGTCCATGTAGTGGATCCAGTGGGTCAGTTGAACACATTGGTGTGATGAAATTGGTGGTTTCGTGGAGAAACCAATGAGCCACAAAGGGTTAAATATATTTGTGTTGGTCTTTATGGTCAAAGAATGTGTTCTTTATTCTTAGTTCGTTATTCGTGCAGAAGTTGATCATCAGTTCTCCATTTTCGTTTTTAACATTCTCGTTATGTTTTTGTTTAATGCCGGCTATTACTTGATTGCCTATTCGAACGTTAAAATCCCCCAATATTATCATTAGACTTCGGCAAATATGCAAATAAAAATGTAGAAAATATGCGCATAAATATGCACGTGTTTACCCGATAATATGCAAATATTTTACAAAATATGCATACAAATAAATAAAAAAATCGTAAAATAGTAACAATTTTATTTAAAAAAAAAGTGTCCATAACTAAATATTTCCTACTATTCATTAAGATTTGCATTTATTTTAAGTAACTACATCATTTTTAAGTATGAATAAACTTATTTAGAATTATGGTAACAATAAATGACCAAGTGGTGTTCAAAATTTTCTAACAAAAACTTGTGGCTTCTGTCTGAGTACATATATTTATATATGGAAAAACTTCGTTCAACATCAACTGATCTAACGGGGGCATTTTTCAAACTAACCAAAATATTTGGTTCTAAATTAATTGTTTCCGAAATATTTCCAGCTAGGACACTGACTACTTCAGAAAGAATATGGTAACCTTTATTTTTTTCCATAGTAGCTTCAAATTTTTTTAAAATATCTTTTCTAATATTACCTCTAACGTTCCGACAACATGACGCAAATTCTTTTATTAATGCTGTACTTTCGAACAATGACAGTTTTGGTGATTCTGAGTAATTGTTTTTTGAACAAAACTAAAATTTGATTTTATAAATGAAAGTTCTTGTTGAAGCAAGTTACTCTGAAAAGTTTGTTTAGAATCCAAAAGAGATTGGGAACTTTCATCTGTTAACGTATCAATTATGTTCTTTATTTTAACAAAATGATCTGCATAAAAATTAGCTGCTTCTAACCATGTTCCCCATCGCGTTAAAATAGGTTGTGGTGGAAGAGGAATGTTAGGTAGCATTTCTTTATAAAGTTGAATTCTTATAGGAGATTTAAGAAATACTTTTTTGACACTGGATATCATGGTATTTACAAGAGGAAACTTTTTTCGTATTTCCTCTGCAACTCTGTTTAATCCATGCGCTACACAAGTAACATGTATTAAATCTGGGAAAAATATTTTTAAATTTTGTCCTGCTTTCACCATATAAGGAGCAACATCCGATAAAATAAGCAGTAATTTATTAGAAGGAATAGTTATCGGAAGAAAAAAAGTTGCTAATGTTTCTTGTATAAAACGCGAAATTGTTAAAACATTTGTTTTCTCAAGTTGCTGGCATGAAATAAGATGAGATTTTGGTAAGGTATCTTCTTTAAGAACACCAATCAATAAATGAGCAATATACTTTCCTGAGGAATCAGTGGTTTCGTCTACAGATATGTAAAAATAATTATCTGCAATTTCTTCCTTAATATTAATTAACACCGACGAGTATAGCCCGTTCACATTATTTCTTCTTAGAGACCGATCACTTGGAACATTAAGTTTTCAATATTTTTTTAGAAACGAACTAAAATTTACATTTGCTAATTTTGAAAGCGGTATGTTTGCAGACACTAATGCGCGACACAAGTCTTCATTAAAAGTTTCTTGCTCATCTAATTTTTTTGAAGTAGATTGGAAACATTTAGCCATTGAAGTTTGATGTTTTCCTCCTATTTTTCCTTTTTTTGCAATGTGTGAAGCACATCTTTCAGATAGACCAACATCACACATGATGTTGGTCTATCTGAAATTTCTTCTCACATGCTATCTATAAATAAAAATAAAAACCTTTATTTTAACCCAACCTTTAAAATATAAAAATATACAAGGTGTTTTTGGTTAATCAAATAACTGGTTTGGAAAAAAAAACACTCGCTAAGTGTTTTAAATGCAGTATTAATCCACAAATTAGTTTTTGTTACTAACCATTAGTACATCATATAACTTATTTTAAAATTCAACAAAAGTTTTTTTTTGTTAATTCAATTACAATAAAAATAATTGTGTTTTAGAATAGCTGACTTCATAAAAAAAAGTAAAGGTGAAAAATTTTTCTAAATACACACCATTGTATTGTACCATGGACAATTTTTTCTCACTAAAGAAAGCTATTTTTCATTTAAAAACAACCTACGAGTACTAAATTTCAAGTAAATACGTTTATTGGTTTTAAAGTTATTGTTGTTATTAACTAAAAGAATTTAATTTTTTTTTTAACTTTAACACCCTGTATCTCGAAAAGTAAATAAGTTTGACCCCTCATTAACTATATCGTTTTGTTCAATTTTTTGAGAAGTATCTACAGTCAAACGTTGTAAGTGTCATTTGGAAACACCCTGTATGTATGAAATATTAGATATTTAATAGAAAATATTAGATACTTACAATTTTGCCACAGACTGAACAGTAGATTTTTCCCATATCCATAGACAGCTCTTTATAAGGTTTAATCCAAGTTGAAGCACTGGTTGTTTTAGGCATTATAAAATCACAATCTTCCTTTTTGTTACGCACAACGAGTGTTTACGCTTTGAATATCAAAACAAAAATGATTTACAAATCTGAGCATCAAATTAGAAATGTTTAGGTACCTAATTCAATAAACTGGGAGATTTTGGAAAATCCCTAAATTAGGAACAAAACTATTAGCCGTTTACCTGCTGTTAAGATACAATAAATTGTAGATAGATTTGGGGATTAGATCATAAAATGCAAATGAGCGAACCCTTAGCGATTATCCAATAACTGAATGCCTCAGTGACCGAGACTTTCTAAGAATGTTGAAAATTGATCTTCTTTGAAATTGTAAATGTTTTGTACCTGTAGAGATTACGTACTTAGATCATTTCTTGATTAAAATGACTACAAAATTGTATACAAGAATTGAAATAAATTGGTATGTTTAAAAATTTTCAAATACAGTATAAAAATCTGAACTTTTATGCACTTTATGCAAACTTTTATACAAATATGCCAAAATATGAAATATTTGCATAAAATATGCACAATATGCAAAATATGCAATATGCATATTTGCCGAAGTCTAATTATCATCTTCCCTGTGACTTGATCTACTTGTTCTAATAGGTCATAAAACCCCCTTGTTGTTTGAGGCTTGTTATTTTCTGGGCCGTATATATAAATATAAATAATAAAATTACTTTATTTAATTTTAAAAATATTTAAATTTTAAAAATATAGGAAACACAGTATGAAGCTTGACTCGAGTCTGTACCGCCTACTGTAAGTTCTTTTGTAGTTCTTAAATCAATGAGTGCCTTTTTCACGTCCTTAATTATATAGGTACTTTATCTTTTAATACCTAATTTTATTCTGTTTGTTCCTAAGCGTAAATTAGGCTTTGGAACAAGTATTTTAAGATGAAATGCAATATTTTCATAATTAAATTATAACGATCCGAAATTATGAGAACGTTCCAAACCAAATCGGTACTACAAAATTAACTCCGTTGTAAATTTTTATTATTCTGTAAAAAATGTTTTCTGTATTTTTTGTTATAGCTTGGCAACATTGTAATCTTTCTGTATGTTTATCTTTCTATCAGTGATATTCGAAATAATAATTGTCGGTGTTGTCAAGATGAAGAAAATTTTTAGTTTGACAGAAAAATCAAAATATTGTTGATACATCCCGATTATTAATTACGAACTGTAATAGATTAATACATTCTTTTTTAATTTTAAATGCTTGTCACCACATTAATTTTTTTCTAAAATATTTTTTAATGGCTCGTTCGTAGGGTGCTTTAATTGAGTCAATATTTGCATTGATAATTCTTTATTTTGATAAGGTAGTATATTTTTAATCTGGGTATGTTAGAAAATGTATTGAAATTACTGTGTAATTGATAATGAGAATACACTGTAATAATTTTATATCCTGTAAATATAAAAAGACTAAAAACGTCACTTAAAAAATCTAGACAAAGTATTTTGATTTCTACTTCGAGTATCTGATTAGATAAAGGATGGTATAGAGAAAAATATGTTAGTTACCAAGTGACATTGATTGCAAATGTAGCTATCACCAAATTTGATAGTATCTGTATAGCGTATCGAGATTTAAAAACGTTTTGGTGCGCGAACAAGTAAATAGATAATGCAAATATGGTGCCAAACGCTTTCAGCAGTCCCCACGTTTCTGGTAACATGGAACAACTCGGTGAAAATGAATTCGTACCGGATTGTTCCAGTACTTCTTTAGTGACACAAAGTAATGTGAATTCGAAAATTAAACTTGACGGGTTATTGGCCAAACTGGGAGTACCGTGTCAAGTTGAGGAGAGTGAATATGATTACGGTCAGTGTTTTGGTTATTATGATAATGGCCGGTATAATGTTTGCCAGTTTGTTGAGTTTGGAGATATCGAAGATTTCATGTAAGTTTTAGTTTCACATTATGTCTATAATGCAATATTGTGGAACCACTTTTGTATAAATTCCATCCCAAAATATACTAGCAACTTCTACGATAGTTATTCTAGTGTTAAAGCTATAACAAAAGTAATATCATTCCACAGTTGTCTTTTATATCTTTAAAAACAGCTTTTATTTATCACCATTACCTTTTCCTTTAACCTTGTATGTGGTCGGTTTCCCTAAATATAGTCCTCTACATGTATTTTTTGTATTTTTTATTTCAGGAAACTCTGTGATTCTTCATATTAACTTAATTATCATTACCTTAGTCTATGCTATTCGATTTTGATCAAATGTCGTCTTCATCGGTCGGCGACGTACCTAAACTTTCTATAATGAAATAATTTCTAAATGTGTCTTTTTTTTGTACACTTTTCTGGTCATCGCCCATCTATTGAAATCTTTTTAATTTTTTAACATTCATTCGTTGTTTCTTTTTACTGATCAACATTTCGTAATTGATTTTTTTTATTACACAACACACCAATCGCTCCTTCCATTTGTTTATTCTACTGTAACTGCATCTAACTGCATCTAAAGTTTTGTTATAAAAAATCATGTCATCATTCAAAATGACCATCTTATTTGTAACAGGAACTCCATCTTCAAATCAACATTCTAGATATTCCGTTTTTGTTCTCTTTCTTCAACTCTATCAAATTTCTCTCTCATCTGATCTAGTAGTAATAAAATTATATTCTTACAACATAAATCTTCAGTATAACCTACACTTGTCATAACATTAGTTCCTGCCACAAACATATCTCCCACAAATTATACATAATTAGCGGAAACTCCTTTTGTATGGAACCACCACAATCATAAGTACATCCGAGGTACCTAGTGTGACATATCTTTCTAATTAGCCAAAAGCATCCATCTTTGTTGATAGGTCTTCCCCTTTTTCTTAAATCATTCTTTATTCTTTTATCCTGGGCTATTTTCATCATCTCAGTCCTGTTTTTTTTATCATCTGACTATTTAGTTTTTGACTTTTTTTTCTCATGGAAGCCGTCTGTTTAAACCGGTCATACTGCAGCCATTTTCCATTGTTTCACGATACACATTCGATGATTCTGGAACCATGTACCAACTTTGGTACTAATGGATGGGTACAATATATTTTTGGAGTCACTTGTAGTCTCCAAAAAGCGCTTGCCGCCCGCGCCCTCAATCTAAATCCTTGTAGTCATTCAAGATATAGTTGACCGTTTCAAGTTCTCTGTTAAAAGTCTGAAGCTTAAATCTCCATGAATCCGTCCCATTGTATGAAGGTATCCCTTGAGAGGCCCACGTCCAGTAAGGAAGCCTGTTATGATTCTGAGCTGATTCCAGCTTGTTTTCCCGCAGTACTTTAGCCGATTTAGTACATGTCCGTCCATAATATATTGTGCTATGTGTTTGACCGGGTGTATTTGCTCAGTGCGAGTTATGGTGCCTCTGGATCAAACCTTTTTCCGGTCGTGAACGATGCTTTTTGGCACTCCCATGGTCTGCTGTGGACCGTTCAAGTTTTGGTCTCTTCCTCTTAGCCGATTTTAATTCCATAGTTTCCAATGTATAATTATTATTTTGTAAATTTTCAATTAAGTTTTGTTACTTTTGTTGAAACATCTTTTGTGAGTTGTTTGTTAGAAGTTGTACACAGATTGAAGAACCTTTTTTAAATATGTAGGGGGCATTATTTCTAGCTCTTCAGAATAGAGCTTAAGAGGGCTTACCAAATGCTAACCAATGCAATGCTTCTTCTTGGCCTCAGTGACAAATTCCGTGAAGCCTGTCCGGCCACAGCTGTTAAAAATACTGATGTTGACATTATCCGGCATGATTAAAGCAGATCGATGTGCTATCTATCATGAGATTCATACATTGTTGGGCATAGACACGAGTGTAGCAATCTAATTTAACAGTATATCATTTGCAGTTATTAAATGTCGCATAATTTCTGCTCCCTGTAAGAAAGCACGTGTTGATTGGTACCGCGCCACATTCAAACGATTCAAGAGATGCACCTCAAATTTGTTATGGAACACTGTGACTGGTGATATATTTCGCTTCTGGCTTATATTGCTATACGCCTGAAATGAAAAACCAATCAACGGTATGGGTGTTTCAAAACGAGCCGAAGCCAAAGAAAATTGGCAAACAAAGCGAGTGTCTTTGAAGAAAAGGGACATTTTGTCACAATTTAGTTAGAGAATGGTAATGCTGAATTGTATGCTACCATTTATTTGTCAGCAGTGGTTGACTCCAGAAAAACAACCGAAATCTTAATGCTAGCTTTCATATGACTCATGTCACATCCGAGTATTAGAAGGTTCTGGAGGTTTTGGTGGTCATCTTACATACAGTGTTGACTTGGCACCGTTTGATTTCTTTGTGTTCTTGAAAACAGGCTATGCGGTAAATGTTTTAAAATATCAGTTATGACGACCGAAGCATACAGAAGCTGTTCCAGGTGTCTATAAATGTTTGGACAATTGGTTTGTTTGAATGCAAAAGTGTATTGATCTTAAAGCCCAATACTTTAAAAAGTAATAAAGTGGATTTTTCCCAAATATATATTTTATTTGTGCAAAACTTTTAGAGTATACCTCGTAATATCAGCATATCGCAAGTTTAGAAATTCTCTGTTTATATTAATATGTAAGTTTTTCCAGTCTAGCTTTTCAAAAACGTCTTCGAATACTCAGTTATAAACAATTTTGGTGGTAGTTCATTTAGAAGTTGTCAACAACCTTGCGTAACTCGTTGGTTTGTTTTTATCGACGCTGATGCTTTGTCATCAGTTAAAATCTGAATTGTGGTCCCCTAATATAAGCTTTTAATTGCCTTCATGAGATGTATTGGAAATCGTTTCTCTTTTAGTATGTACCATGGCAGACAAGATTAACCTTTTCGAAATATAAGACCAATTTATGATGCCAAACTATATTATCACTAATTATGATTAATGAAAGAGTAAATATGAAGGCCAAATAAGGCTCATTAATTCATTGGACACCCTTCTGCGGCATTGCAAAGGCAGTAACAAGAATGGCTATAAGAAAGTGGGTAGTTCACAAATCTCAGGAATGGTGGAGGAACTCATCAGCACAAAGACAGGCGAAACAATTGATTGAACATTCGCCAAAATTTACGGCAGACCTAATAAGCAAATACAGGGAAAGAGTCAAAGGCATAGTAGGTCCGTTAACAGGCACTCTAAGCTGAGTAGGTAGTTGGTAAAAGATAGCACAATTTTGTTGCAGTCGTATGCAAAATCTGAACTAGGAAGTTCCTTTCTTTAATAGAATTTATAGCGGTATATCAGGTTTATTTTTCCTTAAGGTCCCAACCATAATAAGTTTCTTTTGTAGTAACTTCTCTGCTAGATCAGAAGATAAGAACCAGTTGTCCTTTGTAACATTTATATTAATTTCATAAATACTATGAAAATAGTAATGATACTATACGTATCATTACTATTTTTATTTCGTATTTGTCGGGTTTATTGGGAATGTAGACTTTCAAACTACAACGCCCACGAAAATTAAGGAGTTGTTTATCAATAGCTACATATGGTCCAGGAGTATATAGGGCTTGACATATTTCCGTAAACTTTTCCCAAACAGACCGGTTTAGAGCAAACTTATCACCTCTTTAGCTATTTTTTCTTGTTTCTTTCCCATCAAATCTCAGACAGCTGATTAAAAATTCAAAACGTTTTGTACTCGTCGCTTTAATAATAGCAGCACCAAACTGTTTTGACCACATCTCTAGAATATTTAGGTGATTAGAAGTTAGAACACCGCTCATATATAAAAGCCCCAGGAGAGCGCGAATTTCTTGACTGCACGTTTTTTGTAGAACATATTGTTTTATGTACTTTTGAGGCTGCTTTTCGATTTCTTCTTTTGTATGTTGAATAATCGTTTCTATATTTTCATCTGTGTAAAATAATTTGCAAGTACCTAATTCATCATTTACCTTCTTGTCATTACCTTTGGGTCTGCGTATCGCAAAACTATATTTTTTTATAAATTTTCGTGTATTTTTAGTATATTATGGATTGGTAGACCATTTGTAACATATCATGTCAATCCATATACAATTTTTCGTTGTAGTTCGACATCATTATCCGATTCGCTTTGTCATCTGCAGAACACTCATCATCTTGGACACTATCTGTTTCAACACCATCCTCAGATTTTATATCACCACTGAGTTCACTTTGAATGTCATCAGCTTTCTGTAAATATGTTTCTTTTGCTCCATATCACCGTACTAACTCTTCTATTTCTGCTTGGGTCAGCTTTTTGCTAGTTGAAACCATTAATGTAAAATATCAGGTTTTTCACACAAAGCGTAAGATGGTGGCATATATGACTCCGGCACGAAATTTTTAAAGATGTCAAATACTGGCTAACAAGTTGCAACCACTGCGACCACTGGTACTGAGAATCATAGGTTTCTCCTTCTGCTGTAACGGTAGATAACAGATATTAAGATGGAAGTGGTGTCGCCTGAGACACCGTCTTACGCTTGTAGGGTTCAAATTCCTTGGACTGCAAAAGTTCGAATGAAGAAGTGTTAAGACGAATTGGACATGGCAGAACACTTATGAATACAATTAAAATAAGAAAAACATTGTATCTCGGTCACATACTTCGATACGATAAATACTCTCTACTACACGTCATCATGCAAGGAAGAGTAGAGGGAAGAAAAGGTTTGAGAAGAACGAGGATCTTGGCTGAGGAATATCGGCGATTGAACTAATCTCAGTGTTGAACAGATATTTCACGTTGCAAAAGATAGGAAAGTGTTTAAAGAAGTAATCGCAAATCTTCGTTAGTAAACGGCACAATAAGAAGAATATCTAATAGAATGACTAATTGTGATAATAATGTCAAGTTACAGGTAAATAGAATAGAACAAAACGAACTATTTCACTTTCACAAATTTTTACAAGTAACTT